CCCCCTCAAGGATTGAACTCACAACCCTAGGTTTAGCAGGCTAATGCTCAAACCACTGAGCTATCCCTCCCGCCATAAAACTGTAGTGTGATCTCCCACCTTCATACAGCCAGTGGCCTGTGCTCCCCACTGCCCTGCTGGAGCCTCTGCATTTATTTATTGACAAATAAAACTTGCAGAATTTTAAAATATTGGGTGCAGAATTTTTAATTTTTTGGCACAACATTTTTAATTTTTTTGGCACAGAATGTCCTCAGGAGTAAAAGCAGCAGTGCGTACAGGGCCTTAAAATGTCACACAATGCTGCAGTTGTGGAAAATGCAAAATAAACTTGTTAGATCATGCTGTCAGCTGGTAGTAATGCAGTTGCAAGTTGCTTGTTATGCTTGAATAAGTCCATGACGAACACATCAGAAACAGCCTGATCTTGAAATGTGAGCTGATCCTAGACCAATAATATAAAAAAAAATTCTGGAGGTCATATCCAACATGTTCTGGTAATTTGAATAGATATTCTATAAGAGTTCCCTACATATATATATACAAATACAAAAAGAATGACTGCTACAAGCAAGATGTAATTGATTACAGTGCAACACACAGTCTATGAGTTTCCTCTTATAATCATTCCAAAGCAAGGATTTAGGGGGTGGAAAAAGACAAATGTTGCTATTTCTTACAGATAAATTCAAAGCATAAAAACTCTGTTAGCAAATAATATCATGCTTTAGAAAACTGTGATTTCAGAACACACAAAAAAATGACAAATTGTGAATTTGTAATAATCATGTTGATTTGTCAGAAACATTTAACTGGGCAGCACAATGAGCTATTGCTCTACATTTTTACCTTAGGAACCCAACTTCACATTAAGGCTTACAGTTATATAATAAAGAAAAAAAGTCTGGTGGTTTTATAATACTTGGTGGGCATTTCTCCACAAGACAAGATAACCACATAATTCAGCATAATTGGCAGTGTGTGCTTATGAGAGAACCAGAACAAAGAGGGGGTGCAAATAAGAAAGTTAGCTGAAAGTTGAAGCTAGACAAATTAAGACTGGAAATAAAGCATAAATTTTTAATGGTGAGAGTTATTAACCATTAGAACAATATTGCAAGGCTCCTGGTGGGTTCTCTCTCCCTGACAATTTTTAAATCAAGATGGGATGTTTTCTAAAAGATCTGCTGTAGGAATTATTTTAGGGACATTCTATGGCCTGTGTTATACAGAAGGTCAGACTAGATGATCACATGGTCCCTTCTGGTCTTGGAATCTATGAAAGCACAAAATGGAGATGCATTGGTACTACTCTATGAAAAGAGTTTTTACATCTTTCTCTAGCCAGTAACAGAACTCTCTTATCAAATGTATATAAAATATTACAAGACAAATATTTGTTTTTAAATCAGAGATCATCAGTGGTGCTGCAGTATTTCATGAAGTGAGCAACTGAGCCAGACTTAGAAGTACATTGATGACTATGTCTAACTCATCTTGACTGTTTCCGTTTGACTTCATATCTGGATTTTGTTATTATTATTTATTTCTTGCTATTCACTCCAACCATTGACTTCTGATATAAAAATATTTTAACTTTATGGGTGAACATTGAAACCAACTCATGTGACTATCCACAATCAGAGAAGTTTCATGTGCTGTATTTTACAATCAAGTTTGCTCAGGCAGCAGGACTGAATAAATTTCGTAACTGGACATCCAAATCAAAGATGTCAGTTCCCTAACATTAGAGCATGAATTTTTTCCATGTAGAGTACCTTCTCCATCCACCCTAATTGCTCCTAAAGGAAGAGCATGAAAGCCCTTGCTGGTGCTTTCTGCTTTGAATAGCTGATATGGGATGAAAAACCTCAGTAATTTAATGTCCAGGTGACAGTTAAAGTCATGACAGAGAGGGATGGATTCCCAAATTACTTTCAGTAAAAGGCTGGGGGTTTATATTTCTTCCCCTGTCTAGAGTCAGAAGGTGGGTGAGGGTCCAATAAAACATATTACAGTACAACTTCTGTTGGTGAAAGAGACAAGCTTTCAAGCTACACAGAGCTCTTCTTCAGGTCTGGGAAATGTACTCCCAGAGCATCACAGCTAAATATGGTGGAATGGACTGATTAGCATAAGTAATTAGCACATATTCTAAGGCAGTGGTTTTCAAACTGCAGGTCTCAACCCAGTATTGGGTCACGGAATGTAAGGCACTGAGTCGCGGTGGCTCTGGTCAGCACCGCTGACCGGGCCATTAGAAGTCCCGTCGGCGGTGCTGCCTGGCTAAGGCAGGTTAGTCCCTACCTGTTCTAACACCACCCCGGAAGTGGCCAGCAGCAGGTCCGGCTCCTAGGCAGGGAAGGGGCGGGGGAGCACGGGGCTCTGCACGCCGCCCCCGCCCCGAGCACCATTAGCCAATGGGAGTTGAGGGGAGGCGGTGCCTGTGGGCAAGAGCTGAGCGGAGCTGCTTGCGCACCTCCGCCTAGGAGCCAGACCTGGTGCTGGCTGCTTCCAGGGCACCATGTGGTCCACGGTGCCAGGACAGGTAGGAAGCCAGCCCTGCCTTAGCACTCCCACTGTGCCACTGACCAGGAGCCGTCCGAAGTAAGCCTGCATTCCAACCCTGTGCCCCAATCCCCTGCCCCAGCTCTGAGCCCAAACCAGGAGCCCCCTCCTGCACCCCAAACCCCTCATCCCTGGCCCCACCCCAGAGCCTGCGCCCCCAGCCCATAGCCCTGACCCCCCCCACACACACACCTTAACCTCCTTCCCCAGCCTTGAGCCCCCCCCCAAACCTGGAGCCCCCTCCTGCCCCCAACCCCTCATTCCCAGCCCCACCCCGCAGCCCTCACCCCTGCACTCCAACCCTCTACCCCAGCCCTGAGCCCCTCTCACACCCCAAACCCCTCATCCCCAGCTCCATTGGGTCACGGGAATCAACAATTTTCTTCAACTGGGTCGCCAGAAAAAAAGTTTGAAAACCACTGTTCTAAGGGACCATTCAAGGTACATAGTGTCTGTGAGGACCAATAGGTCAGCTATTGCTTTGTGAAAAGTGTTCATCCTAAGGTCACAGGATGTTTTTGTCTTATCGTTTTCCTATGTAAATTCATTTGAGAGCACAGTCTGGTTTCACCAACATAGTTGTTATTGGGGGCATTTAGTGCACAGGCTGAAGTATACCATGTTGTGATAGACATATAGAAAATCCATGGTTCTTGAAAGGTGTGTTGTGCAGGGGGGAGAGGGTTCATTACAGCAGTGGAGATCATTACTGCACAAAGCAATCACTCTATGTCTGACCTATCAGTCTTCATCATCTAAGGAAACCTATACAACACATTCAAAAGATGAGCGTGGGAGCTTAAATTCAAAACTTTTCTAGACACTAAAAATCACGGACTGAATAGAGACACTGGATTTATGGCTTGTTACAGAAGTCTGTAACCCACTAACCCTCTCTTTTTGTTTTATGACTGCAGAGGTGTTAATGGGCCACTGTCCCTTAAAAGGTGTGCTAACTACTTATGCTAAACAATCTGTTCCACTTGCATTTAGCTATAGGAGTACCTTTCCAGACCTGAGGAAGAGCTTTATAGGGCTCAAAAACTTGTAGAAGTTGGTCCAATAAAAGATATTACCTCACCCACCTTGTTTCTGTAATATCCAAAGACCGACATGACTACAGCTACACTGCATGTAACAATAGACCCTAACTAGAGTCCACAGATTTGTTTTTGGCAGACTAGAAAAGAACCCAAACTTCTCTATCTGAATAGAAGCACATTTTCTTTCTCTCCCACACCATTGCCATGATTTTACTATCATTCTGTAGGTATAGTATAGCCAAGCTACTCAGCAGATCCATTGGGCCCTTTCCCTCTTTAGCCAGCAATAACTCAGATCATAGGACCTGTGCGCCAGCTATTTTTTTTTTTAAGTTTCTTACTGATTCATGGGAGCAATCAGATTAAGACGAGTGCAGAGACAAGGGAAATGGGCAGGGAAGGTTGAAAGGAAAGAACATGAAGGTCAAGGACCACGGTGAAGAGTTGAAGTAACAGTGAGGCCAGACCTGTTCTGCAGTAGCCACACGAGCTGAAACTGTCTTGCTCTCCGCTCTAAAGCAGTGCGGCAGCATTAGACAGAGCGTCCTCCCTCCCCCATGCACTGAGCACCTCAGCCCGCCCCCCAAGCTATTTGAAGGGGCTGAGGGCCTCCCCCCACAGGTTATCTAGAGGGAGGGAGCAGAAAAGGACCCCTCCCTTTGGGGGAGCAAAGGCTGCCTCTGGCAGCGGGAAACGCTCTAGAAAGGGGAAATGCATGAGGTTGCAAGGGCTACCGTGTGCGCCACGGCGGGGGGTGCTACAGCCACCCGATCTGCAGTGGGGTTGCTACCAGCCGGGCAGGGGCTGATCCTCACTCCGGGCTGTGAGGGAGGCATCCGGGGTGGGGGTGGGGATCGCAGCAGGGCGCCCGGGGGTGGGCGGTAATGCAAAGCGTTAAGGCGGGGGCTGGCTTTTCCCGGGGGAGGGGGGAGACCAGGAGGGTGCCGGGCGGCGCCGCAGCCCCCGTACCTCGTCCTCTCGCCCGCACGATGCCTTTCTTCTGCAGCACGAAGGTGGAACCGTTCACCAGGCTGGAGACCACGGCCACGCTCAAGCCCAGGGAGACGGCGGCGGGGCCGGGGCTCTGCGCGGCCCCGTCTTCCCCCGCGGCTGCACCCACCGGCATCCTCATGCCCGGCAGCACCGTAGCGCTCGCGCCTCTCCCGCCAGCCCGGAACCGGCAGCACTGAGCGGCGGCTGCGGGACCCGCCCCGAGCCGCCCAGGCCCCACCCCCGGCTGCCGCTGCCGGGGGCGGAGCTCAGCGGCCTCTGGCAGCCGAGCCGCCGCAGTAGCTGCCGCGCCTTACGCCACCTCCCCTGCCCCCGGCCCGAGGCGGCGACAGAGGGGAGATGCCCCCGCCGGAAGCGGCTCTCCTCCAGGCGGCGGCCGCAAGTCCTGTCCGGGAAAGCGCGAGTACCCTGGCGCCGCATTGCGCCGCGGCCCCACAGCAGAGTACTGACATCATGGTTGCATCCCATTGTCATGTCATGGCGTCACACTGCACTGGAATGTGGCACCGCGTCACCACGTCAGGGTGCCGTGCAGCCGCTAAACCTCATGACATAGCGTTGAGGGAGACAGACAAGGTGGGTGGACTCGTAATACGGTGTATTGGACCCACTTCTGTTGGTGCCAGAGCCCAGCTTTGGAGCTACATGGAGCTCTTCAGGTCTGAAAGAAGAGCTCTGTGTAGCTCCCAAATTTGTCTCTCACCACCCGAAGTTGGTCCAACATAAGATATTACCTCACCCACCTTGTGTCTCTCATATCCTGGGACCACCACAGCTACGACAACACTGCAAATGACATAACATTGTCATCAAGTCGAATCTGCATCTATCATCTTACGTTGGTGCTAATCACCTTAGCACCTGAATGCTTCTCCTCCTTCCCAGAAGGTTGGCATAAAATGCTTGACTAGAATTAAGGATGTTAAAGTTTTGTTTGCACAGTGTAATTTTGAGGCAGTGTCACAACACATTGATGCACCTGGAAAACCTGATTTATGCAGTGGGAATCTAAGAATTATGTTGTGCCACTCCAATAAACCCTCTTCCTCACTTCCAACCAGGTCCTTTCTAATGTAAGCGGTGCAGAATCATTTGTTTATTTTTGTGTTAAATTCAATTTGCTTTCTCATCCCAAAACTTTTCAGTATGCTGCAGTTTTTTGAAAGGAAGGGACACTATGTAGAAAATAACTCTCCCTGTAATGTTGTCGAAGTGCTCCTGTTCAGGCCCTTCCCTGGCCTTATCAAATTGACAATCTTGTGGAGGGCTCAAGTCTGGCATTTCCTTTTATTGGAAGGTGTTACTTCTGACACCATCTCATCTGACCCGGGGGAAAAAATCATAGAAATCACCTTTAGAGGTCAACTCACTGGCAGTTAGAACAGTTGTTCGCCACTGATTGCTTAGCTGGGGTTACTCTTTTAAGTGTACACGATGCCTTTGTCTGCTGTTTTATGTTTCTCCATTCATATAGTAGCACTCTGCACATTTTAATAAACCAATAACAGTATTTTTTCAATGAATGTGACATTTATTTTAAAAGAGATTATCACACTGCAAGAACTCACATCACAAAATGCAAAGCTGTATAAAAGTTGAATGAAATGGCTAGACTTCAAGGTTAAATTTTTCTTAGTAGGCAGGATGTTTACTACTCTATGGCTTATATGTTATTCATCAGTCTTGATCAAATTTTCATGCAAATAAATGCCCCTTTTGTGTGTCATGGATTTCAACATTACAGATATATTTTAGTAAGATGACTGAGACTGTCAGATTAAATTTGGCTTTATTTTGTGCAATGCATCAGATGTCTAATTAACATTCCTTGGCTTTAATTGGAAGTTTCTGGTCATAGTATTCCAGGTAGACACAATATTGTGAGTGATGATGGACTGAATCCTCAGGTTTCTTCCTCAGGTCTGGTCTTGTTTTGGCTACTTCATTTCCTAGGTCAGGTTTTGTGTTTCTCACACCTGGGCTACAGTTCATAAAGAACCAACTATTACATTTACTTGACAAGAGGACTGGACACACTAACAGACAAACAAGAATCTCAAAAGCAAGCTGCATCTGACAGAACCAAATACAAATTGCTAGAAGTATTTTTAAATCCTTTTTGTCTCAAGACAGTTTCTTCTCAGACAAGGTTGAATACATAATAGCTATGTTATAACAATTATTTCAGCCTGTCTAGAAATAGAACTTTAAGAAAGCTTCTTAAAGCTTCCTTCTTTATGAGACTCATTCTCTCTAAATCGCAGAAATAATAATTTGCTATCTTAACTTTTCTTTTGGACTTTTTGTGCCTAATTTCAGTATTGCCAACTCCACAAGTTTGAAAATTATGAGTCAGGCCACTGCAACCACGAGAGAGGTCAAAAACACTATTTAATCTCATGATTTTGGGGGCCAATCATCTGATTTTTCTTAATTCTCTCTGCCCACCTCAATATCTGCTTTATAATGACAGTGTCTTTCAATTTCATACAAGTAAGGTGATTTTGGCTGACACTCCTGGAGCTCTCACTAGAGGACCTGTGACAGAATGTACCCCTGTACTCACACCCTACTGTCAAGGCTGTATCCCCACTTTGAACCTTAGGGTACAAATGTAAGGGCCTGCATAAAAACTTCTAAGCTTATCTACCAGCTTAGCTTTGGTCCGCTGCCACCATCACAAGAATTCCCTCCCTGGGAAGCCTTGAGAAACCTTTCACCAATTCCCTGGTGAACACAGATCCAAACCCCCTTGGATCTTAAAACAAGGAGAAATCAATCTGGTTCTTAAAAAAGAAGAAGGCTTTTAATTAAAGAAAAAGGTAAAAATCATCTCTGTAAAATCAGTATGGAAAATACTTTACAGGGTAATCAAACTTAAAGAGCTCAGAGGACCCCCCTCTGTCTTAGGTTCAAAGTACAGCAAACAAAGATACACACTCTGGTAAAAAGGTACCATTACAAACATTGAATCTATCTCCCCTTGTAAGTATTCTCACACTTGCTTCTTATCAAACTGTCTGTACTGGGCTATCTTGATTATCACTTCAAAAGTTTTTTTTCTCTTACTTAATTGGCCTCTCAGAGTTGGTAAGACAACTCCCACCTGTTCATGCTCTCTGTATGTGTGTATATATATCTCCTCAATATATTTCACTCTATATGCATCCGAAGAAGTGGGTTGTAGCCCACGAAAGCTTATGCTCTAATAAATTTGTTAGTCTCTAAGGTGCCACAAGTACTCCTGTTATTTTCATTGTACAAAATATGCCTTCTAAGATATCGTTTGAAAACTCATAATTTGCTGATCTGTATGGTCCTGATAAAATGTGTGGCAACACTATGGTGTTATTAACACATGTTCCAAACTGAATGTGGGAAACAGGTCTGTCTCAAACAAAGAAATGTGTGCTCTTTTTAATTTGCATTTAAGCAATAAACAATCATTAAGCAGGAAGGGAAACAAAGGAATCTAAAAAAGGTGAGAAAAAAGCAGTAGGGTAAATTTTTCCACATAGACCTTTTGTCTCCTGATACCCATCTGGAAATGTTTTTTCAAGAGGGGAACTGAAACTATAAAAAAGGAGGAACACACACCCACAGGCACCCCCCTCCTCTCTGACCTAAGAAGTTTGGTCAGTAAGACTGCTGAAAGCATGTGGTGAGAAAACTTTGCTTTGAATTTAATACTTTGTTAAGTTAGGCTCCAGTTGCATTTTATCTTATTTTTCTTGTAATCATTTCTGACTTTTATGCCTCATTACTTGTATTCAAAATCTATCTCTTTGTAAATAATTAACTTGTTTAATCCAGTGTGTTTAAATTGAAGTGTCAGGGAAACTCCATTTGGGGTGACAAGTTGTCTGCATATCTTTTCCATTAAAGAAATAATGGACTTTATATACTCTGTACTGTCCAGGAGAGGGCTGGGCAGTACAGGACATACATTTCTGGAGGGAAATCTAAGACTGGGGCTGTGTTGGGGGTCACCCTGCAGTATAACCAAGGCTGGTGAGAGGCAGAATGTAATCCAGCTGTGACTGGCAGGCGCAGTTACTGACAGACACTTGTATGCTGGAATGCTGTTTGTGAGTGGCCCAGGTGGGACCTGCTTCAACCAAAGAATTGTAAGGCACCCAAGGCTGCTGGGCAGGGGTGAAAGAGCTGCTCATTAGTCTGGATTGTACTCTGGTATTTCACAGGACCCAACTGAGATTAGGTCTCCATTGGGCTAGTCATTCTACATACACAGTAAGAGACAGCCCCTGCCCTGAAGAGTTTTATTGTCGAGTGCAAAGCATAGTGGGGAATTTGTGACACACGAGCTAGAACTTGGACACACCCAATTTCCATTAGATGAGAACCAGCTTTAATTCCTGTGGAACTGGGCAGGATTCAGACTGGTAACCTTTAGGTGAAAAGCATGCTCTCTCATTCACAACACCCTGAAGCATCCAGTCCCCATAAGTACTAATGTTACACCTTTGAGAATAAGGCTTGCTTTCTAGAAAGATAAGTTTACAGTGCATGAGTGGTGCCAGAACACTCCAGAATGGTGTTCTGGGACTTTTGGGGGAAGCTGTAACAGTGTTCTGGTACTTCTGGTCACTGAGCCACCATCATTCCTTCCAGATCAGGGTCCAGACTCCCAGGAGTACCTCTTGAGCCAGGGGAGACCCACAGACCGGCTCCCTGCTCCAGAAGGAGAGCTGGGTCCTGACTTAACAAGCCACCTTCTCTCCTTCTGGAGTGGGAAGCTGGGTTTGGACTCTCAGGGGTCCTGTTGGGTCAGGGGGCATGGGCCAGTGGGACACCTACTTTGGAAGGAGAGATGGTGGCTCAATATCCCAACGACCAAGCTGCCAATCTTTCCTTCCAGAGTGGGCCCAGAAGCAGAAGAGGTGGACATGGTGTGAGGAGATGATGCCCCAGCCTTGCAGTATGCATGGCTGACACATCCGTGGGAGCTGGTCAATGATTTGAAGAAAATGATGATCTGTCAGTCCAAGTCCTTCCCAGCAGCAAACCATCATTTTAATCATCTCTCCCCTTCAGCCCCCTTCTCTCCAGGCAGCTCCCCTATCATAATTCCTTCCTTTCTCAGCCAGCCTCCCTCCACAC